AGTGCTGCGCCTCTCAGCTGGGCCGCCGTGGGGGAGGGGAAGGGGGGGTGGTGATGTACACAGCCCCGTCCCCTGGCTGTGTAAGTCACCGACACGGAGGGAGAGAGCTCAGGAGAGAAGATCTGAAAATCCCGTCTTATGATGGGCTAATTGGCTAGTTGCTTAAGAATGAGTAGGAAGGGTAGCCAGGTGGGTTGGCTGTATGTTACATACCACTGATCTATCTATAAGGTAGTTAGTGAGAGTCATTCTTTATGAACTAGCCAATTAGCCCATCATAAGATGGGATTTTCAGGTCTCTCCTCCATGTCAGTCTTCTCTCCTGAGCTTCCAGTCTCTCTCCCTCTCCGCCTCCTACTGCCTCCTCCTCTCTCTCAGCTCTCCTACGCCTCCTGCCTCTCTCTCTGTCTCTCTCTTTCTCTTCTCCTCCCCCTCCTGCCTCTCACTCAGGGGACTGTGGAACCCAAATGGCCTCTTGGGCTCCGCACTCCTCGTGCTGCATGGGGAGCGTGGAGCCCAAATGATCGCTTGCGCCACTTGCTCTCATGTGGTGCAGAAGTCAGCCAAGCGCCATGGTGGGGGGGGAAGAAGGGCGGGGTGGTGATCCGTCAGAGCCCCCGGCTCGTCCAGGCCCCGCCCCCTGGCTGTTCCCTCTGGGCGACGCTGTCCCTTCCCGCCGTGGCGCTCGGCTGACTTCTGCGCCGCTCAGCCAGGCCGCCATGGGGGAGCAAGTGGCCGTTTGGGCCCCACACTCCCCATACAACACGGGCCGCCCAGGGGGAACAGCCAGCATTTCAGGCAACAGCACAGCCCAGAGAGAACAGCCAGCATTTCAGTGTTAGAGACTCTCAGACATTGGGCTACTATATATATGATAAGTACCACAATGATTTCTCTAATATTAGCATTTCTGCATTTAGGCTTCCTATGTACTAATAGGAGCTCTACTAAATCTCACCAGTTTTACCCCACAGGCAGTTATGACAGTAGAAGTTGGAAAAACTACTGCCTTTATTGGTAGGGCTCGTCCTCCTCTCACCCAATGAAATACAGAAAAAAATAATATATAGGAAAGTATAGAAGTACCTTATAACCAGGAAAAAAACCCTGCAAATTTACACATATGTGATTGTGTACATGGGGAATAATTACCATATAAACCAGTGTGATTAGAGAACGAGAACCATTCCCACAAAGCTTCTGACAGGTAAGAGAGCATGGCCATTCTCACATTATTTCAAACTATTTTTAATCTTGTCTGTTTGCTAGCCATAACATTACAACATACAAGAAAGGTTGCTGAACTGAGAAACTTCTAAACTTCCAAGGCTGGCAGTTACTAAGAATTGTTATTTATTTGGACAGCGAGGGGCAAATTCTTCCTCATTTCCTGTTAACCTGAATATGTCAGTGGATGTGAGGGCAGAATTGGACACCCAGAAATTTCCTGATATCTGCTGTTTTGAAGTTTAAGTGAGTCCCTTTGGAATTTACACAGGTTAGCAAAGATCTGTTGGACAATTAGTAGTGATCGGACAAATGGAAAAATAAAATTTCAATTTCTCACATTTAAATTGAAGATAATCTCAAACTTTTGTGTTTTTTTGTCTGATTTATAACATCTTTAAGGAAATGAGAGCTGCAAAAGCAACAACATTACCCTTTGGAGAATTTTGGATGGCGCTTATGTTTCCTTTCTTCAGTGCTTCCACATTTGGTTGTATACAGTAAACACTGTTTAACAGGAACGGGGAGAGAGAAGATCATAAAAGAGCCAAGCAGCAGCAGCTTTTGCATGATGTTTCCTATGGGTATAGCTAAACCATTTATTCTAGGCTATTTTGACAGTTTAGGAGTTGGTGTAAAAACAACTTTAGAAAATTTGCCAGCCTACATAAACTTCAGGAGAAGCAGTTCAGTATCTGCCTGCTTTATTGACCCAACTAATTGGAAACGCTGTCAGATGACCTTGAGGTCACTCAGATTTAGAATAGCTTTCTTTGGGCTGAAGAGTTAGTTTAGGTAGCTAAGCCCTATGGCAAGATTGATACAGTGAGTACAGGGAGACTTAGAGACGCCTCCTTTAGTTAATCAAGTTTTCATGACAGTAAACAAGAAAACAATGGTATTAATCTTGCAGAAGTGTGAGGGAAGAATTAGTGGGACAGAGCAAGGCAATTAAGTCAGTTTTCTTCCTTTACCCAAGTAGCTATGCAGGATGTTACTTGCGTTATTACATACTCCCTTTCAAATTAACCAACAAGAAATAGTCTGGGACAAATCCTCATCTACAGTATGGGTGAGTCTAGACTACAGAGTTTTGTCGACAAAAGTGGACTTTTGTCCACAAAACTATACCTGCGTCTACACTACCACTGAGTTCTGTCGACATAACGTCGACAGAACTCAGCAGTTTTGTCGACGCTGGTAAACCTCATTTTACGAGGCATAACGCCTTCTGTCAACAGAGTTCTGTCGACAGAAGGTGTTATTGCATGTAGGGTTGTGTCTAGACTACAGGGTTTTGTCGACAAAGCAGCTTGCTTTGTCAACAGAACTGAATGTAGTCTAGACGCTCTTTGTCGACAGAAGCTTTGTCGACTGTATCTGTCGACAAAACATCTGTCGACAAAACCCTGTAGTCTAGACGTACCCTATGTTCCAATGATTTCAACAGAACTATGCTGACTTACATCAGGTTAGGATATATCTCAGAGAACAGAATAACCAAAGGGTGGGTAAATGATATAATCAGCGTCCATATAAAACCAGAATGCATAACAAATAACAATTTATTTGGTTCACGATTTCAGTAAAATCTTTGCCACCTATTTTTATTGAACAGAAAATATTCAATTAAAATGATACACTGTGTCCTATATACATGTGTGTGTGCGCGCACAATAAATGACAATATTTAATACTGTTATATATTAAGATGTTAAATTAATCCTATATACGTGTGTGTGTGTGTGCGCACAATAAATGACAATATTTAATACTGTTATATATTAAGATGTTAAATTATCTTTCAACATTTTTAAACTAAATCACTGTACATTTTGTATCATCTATGGTTTAATAAACTATAGCAATATAAACGCAGGACACACAACACAAAACAGGATTACATATAGTAATGAAAAGGAAATATAATCCTTGAAGCAATGATGCAAGAACAAATGTTAACTGCATTAAAAAGTAACAAGATTGGATAATCTCTTAAATACAGCATATAAATCTACAAGCGAGACAAATTGTTTCTGAATTTATGAAATGGACAGGTCAAATTCTAACTCACCCTTCTACAATTTCAGAAATTGGGAAGTATACTACATACTGTTCTCAAATATACATTAAGGGCCTGAGGCTGCAAACGTCTTGAAGCAGACAGATCCCAGGTGCCCACACAAAGCCCCAAAGTGTCTTGCATAATTAGAGTACGTATCTTAAAAACACTTACAAGATACTGATTGGGATAATTCCACTTACACATAGGCTATGTCTACACTACAAGGTTTTTGTGCAAAAACCTGCAGAGTGTCCACACTTCAAGCGTGTTTTTGTGTAACAAAATCTACAGTCCATCGACAGAACAGAGGTCTTTTTGTGGTGTAGGTATACCTCCTTCTGCGAGGCACAACTCCTTTTTGTGCAAGAGTTCTTGCACAAAAAGGTATGTGTGGATGCTCAACGGGAGTTTCTTGTGAAAAAGAGCCTATCACAAAAAGCACAGGTGCTCTGATGGCCATTCTGTGAATGGCCATCAGAACTTTCTTGCGCAAGAATGTCCATGCAGTGTGGACATTCTCTTGTGCAACATTGCTTTTGATATGCACTTTTGAGGTGTGGATGCGCTTTTGTGCAAGAAGTTTTTGCGGAAGATCTCTTCAGCAAAAACCTTCTTTGGAAAAAACCCTGCAGTGTAGACAAAGCCATAGTGTCAGCATTTATTAACTGTGATAGCAACTTTAAAATTACAAAAACAAATCCTAGAATTATAGCTATGAAAGTTATATTAATTACATTGACCAGTCAATAAATAATGTATAACAAGGAGTATTACACAATATACAACTGTTGCAACAATGTACAATATACACAATGCTATTTTGTGCTACCTACAGTATGTTACATTCTCATACTACCCTCAAAGTAGGTTTTGTGGACTGACTGATTTCTTTAACTTGCTCTGCGGCAGTGAATAGCCAATTACAATATCAATCATGAATTATATTGTTTAAATTTAAAAATTATTTAATCTTTAACTTGTTTTTAGATGTAATACTTAAAACTCCAGAGAGAGGTCACAGAGATTAGTATTTTTTTTATTATTATTTTTTTCTGTTCAGTTGACAGCACTTATAGTACAGACTGTTTTCCCATTTACATTTTTTCTCCTGTTTTATACAGGTGTCCCATTTCCATTTTTTCTCCTGTTTTATACAGGTGTCTTAAGGTAGAGATAAGGATTTACAATTTAGAAAATGAAAAACTACAAACTTAGCAAGGGAACTCACGGGCAGATATAATAACTTGAAATTACTATTTTTTAAACTGGAGGGCTACGTCTAGACTGGCCAGATTTTGCGCAAAAGCGCCTGCTTTTGCGCAAAATCTTGCCAGATGTCTAAACTGGCCGTAAGTTCTTGCGCTAGAACACTGACGATCTCATGTAAGATCGTCAGTGTCCTTGCGCAAGAACTGTGACACTCCCGCTCAGGAATAAGCGCCTCTTGCACAAGGGTTCTTGCGCAAGAGGCCAGTGTAGACAGCTCTTGCTCAAGAAAACCCCGATGCGCAAAATGACGATTGAGGCTTTCTTGTGCAAATGCTTTTAACAGAAAAACTTTTCTGTTAAAAGCATATGCGCAAGATCGCACCAGTCTAGACGCAGCTGATTATGTTCAAATTGAGTATTCCTTTTAATATAGTTTTCAGAATTTATATAAGAGGAAAATGCTGAATAATCCATATAAAGAAACAAATTGCTCAGATTAAAATGAAAGACATACCTACCAGCTATCCTGCATTTGGAAAAAAAAATACGGGCAGTCTTTTATCTCTAACTTCTTAATGATTAGACCATATGTATGTAGAAGGCTGAAAAGAGAGGAAGGTTCTGCAAAATGTAGATATATAGTAATTTTATAAGTACATTACACACAATATGCACTAAATAACAATATTTTAATGAAAATAATGGCACACACTAAGAAGCAAACAAAATGCATAGAATTCTATATTGGACTGCGAGGCTCCCAATTATTTTAATGGGAATTAAATGAACAGATCCATTACATGTGCTTATGCATCCAGAATTTTGGCTTTGGATTAAAATAATGTAAAGGCTTATTTCTCCTCTTGAGGTGGATGAAATTGAGCCCTGCAAGGAGAGTCCACACCAGGCCTATACACCACCCTGTTCTGGAGGTTTAAAAAACCACAAGTGATATGGATGCCCTGTGAGGACTCTTGGCAATAGTGAATTTAATGATTTATTATCATTAAATAATTATATAACAGATTGTGAGAGGTTTAAAAAGGTTCAGATGGACTTATTTACATTTGCTGCAGTCACTTCTTAAGTTTGAGAAATATCTGCATCGTATTACAGTGGTATCATCCAGCACTCTTCTGAGTTAGGTTATTCCATATTGTAAAGTATGTGATCTTCTACAGTGAGGAGTGCTCTAGAAATAGAACACAACTCATTGCAGGAGACAAAAAGAATAAAATGAGGTAATTCAGAAGAAAATGTATTGACTGTGTGTTTTCTTAGCACTTACAGTACAGCAGACAGTAAATATTATTTTCTTTTGTAATATCTTCACAATACTACAAAGAACAAGACACTGACAATAAGCTTGGTCTCTATGCATTTTTAATCTTCATTCTGTGAAAAATCTTCAAGTACTCCAACTGTAAACTTTATTGAAAAAAATAAAGCCAGAAACTTTAGGAATCCTCTTCATTCACAAGCAACGGTTCCACTTCCAATGCCACTAAACTGGGTCTTCTCTTGGTCTGCTTGCGATACATAATAAATTGTGCAGTCATCTGGATATTATGGGGTAAGGAAATGAACAACATGAGATATGAAGACAGCATTGTCAGACAGGATGAAAATCAGTCATCCGTCTAGTCCACCAAGCAACCAATCTCAGACAGTGATCACTTTGATTCTTCAGAGGAGGTTCAGAACTCTCTGCAGAAGATTATTATGCCTATAATGTTTCTTCCTAGCCCTGCTAGTTAATGGCTAGTTTATGCTCTAATGCATGAGTTTATATCCCTATTTTTAATCTGAACTGTGGACATTTCTAAATCCATGTGTATAATCCTTCTTCAAAGCCTGCCTCATTTGTTCTCAATTATATCTTATGGCAATGAATTCGTTTTAGCCACATGGATGTTCTGGGAATTTCTTGTTGGCACTATTTAGAATTGTAAATTCCACATTTATTTATTTATTTACTGTTATTGCAATCAAATTAATACACATGTAATACAGTAATTACTCATTTAACACGTGCCCACTTAACATGTTTTCATAATAGCATGGGTTTTTTTAGGGAACTTTTTTCGAATAACATGACCATCCCTGAAATAACACAAAAATAATCAAGTGGCGGACTACTTTTTGTGGCGGTATAAGTTGGTGAAAACAGTGGTAATACGCATGAGAGGATGAATACACATAGTACAGAGCTCCTCTGCTCACCCACATGTTTATCTTTGCGTTTAACAAACTGCGGCGACTTGTGTTGCTAGATATCTAAACAGAGCTCCTCTGCTCACCCACGTTTATCTTTGCGTTTAACAAACTGCGGCGACTTGTGTTGCTAGATATCTAATATTGACATTGATGACTGAGCACCAACAAAAAATTGACTCTGCTGCCACCACCTGAAATGCAACCCCCACCTTTTCCATTTTTTAATGGGAAAAATTGACCCCACATAGCACTTTTTCGCTTAGCATGAACATTTTCAGAAACGTATCTATAGTCTTAAATGAGGAATTACTTGTACACACTAGGTCAGATCCTGGCCCTCATTATGACCCCTATATTCGCTACTCTAGTGACTTTCAGGGGATATAAAGAAGCCACAATGACTCTCAGGTGAAAGCCCCAGAACAGGAACAGTGTATGATTGACATTGTCCTACAATGTACCAAGCAGAGGGCTATGCTGGGGTTGGAACCAGAGAAGCATTTCAGAGGCATGAGGGAGAATGGCCACAATTCTTTGAACCTGGCCTATTTGGGGCAGTAAAGCATCCCTAAGCAGATGAACAGAGCCTACCATAAATGAGAGCAGTCCATGGGTGGGGGGGGGAGGGGAACTACTCCAATTTATTGTAGCAGCTCTTCTGATCCCCAGCCATGCCCAGAATCTGAGGGGCACAGAGCCTACTTAAAGATGCCTTTGCCCCGATCCTCTGTACCCCATTTTTGTGCTGTGCCTCCTGGAAGTGTAGCGTAGACTCTAACCCAATACATAAAAATTTGCTCATCAAAACCACTCATTTCTTAGCATGGTAAAGAAGTAGAACTACTGTATAAGGGTGTGTCTAGACTACATGGCTCCGTTAAAGAAGCCATGTAGATGAGTGTACTCGGCAAAGGGAAATGAAGCAGCGATTTAAATAATTGACACTTCATTTACATCAAAATGGCCGTCGCACTGTGCCGATCAGCTGATTGTCGGCACAGTGCGGTTGTCTACATGGGGATTAGCCGACCCTTTGTCGTCAGATCCTTTATGCCTTAGCCGACCCTTTGTCTTCAGATCCTTTATGCCTCGTGAAACGAGGCTTACAACCCCCAGCCAGTGTCTCATCAACCAGGTCAACGGTTTTCAGCCTTTTTTCATTTAAGTACCCTAAAACAATTTCAAATGGAGGTGTGACCCACCCCTGGAAATCTTAGTCTGTGGCCCCTCCAGGGGTCTGCAAACCACAGGTTGAAAACAATGTATTAGACCAAACTACTGTTAGTGTTTATATCCAACCCTGAATGGGCTTTGGAGAAGTGGATGGGATCAGGAAGGAAGCTTCATGATAGGGACCTGCATGAAAGGCGGCATAAAATATAGAAAATGGGTATTTACTGGGCATTTTCACACACAATACAATTCATGCCCTTATTCACACAGCTTTAGGTCAGACTGTGGCATACTACCACTATTCTGTGAATCCCTTTTTACAAATGAAACAGCATTGCTCTGTGAGGAATCCTGGAACATAAGATCTCTGCTAGCAACATTTTAAATTGTTTGAAGCTAAAGCTTGCCATTATTTCAAGAAAAGTCATTCCTGTAGAAGCTTGCTGGAAGGTGCAGGTGAGTAGAGAGTCAATTCTCTACATGCTAGCTACAGCCCTATGAATCACCTTGCTTTCTCATAGCTTTATAATACCTCCACCTCTGGGATCTCTCGCAGCTAAAGACTAGTCAAGATTTCCTTCAGTGATAGTAGATATGCACTCTTATTTAAATCTGTATTAACATGGGGTTCTCTTCCTACTTAGAGCTGAGCAAGTTAGCTGCACAGCACTTTTAGCTACTATAGGTCAGAAAACTAAGAGACCAGGAATTTGAAAGAACCTCATCCTGCAAGATACTGAGCATCTTCTGAGGGTGCTGAGTGCCTTCATCTCTTGAAAAAAATACTAGGAGCTCTTGTAGGACTCTGTCTTTCTACCAGTGTGACTAAGGTGCTATTCCACTGAAGTCAGGCTGTGTATCTGGGAGTTGGGACAAATGTGGATCTCCTGCATGTAAAGACCAACTACAGGAAAACTCCAATAGTCCGGCATCAAAATGGCAAGAGCCTAGTGAGTGAGCTTCAGCAAAAAATGAGTCACAAGGTAACAGCGGCAGCAGCTGAACTGAGCAAAAAGGGTAAAAAAGGCTTAAAACTAAAATTTACAGTATACTGTATATAGTATGTACAATAAAAAGGGTTAAGAACACTTTATATACAGTATATAATGTATACAGTATATATATATATAACCATCTTATAGTACCTCCTGATAGTCCAGCATATTTGATAATCTGGCACTACCTAGGTCCCATAGGTTCTGGATTATTGGAAATCTACTGTATCATTCTTAGCCCATGACCATTGCCTGTCTGGTGGTCTGTTTTACTTAACGAGCTTAAGAACCAATTGCAAATAATTTGCAATATGCAATTCTAGATGAGTATTTCCAACATGTGTTTTCATTAATAGAGATTTAAGGAATAAAATTAAAAACTGCCACTGTCAACATTCGGTCAACATTTCTTTTCTAAGTTTATAAAATATTAATGTGCAATAAGTGATGCATGAAACCATGCTGAGAAAAACAAATGCTGAGAGAGGGAGAAAGTTGTATGCTCATCTAGGAAACTGCCCTGGCTGAATGGTCAAGTCAAGCTTAAATTCTCAGCATGATATAATTAAATTACTACACAATCATGTTTTGTAAAAGCATATAATGAATTCCAAATGGTTGCCCAGCAAATCACAAGAAGCAAGACTGTTAAGACTCTGGCTATTGTTATTTAGCGCTGGCTGACTATGGGTTTTTTTGGCTCTCTAGTAACAATGTAATCTGGAACTAACTATGCCGCATTTCAATGTAGTTTGCTGGACCTAACGTATTGCATGTCAAATAAAACAGAGAGGGGGGACAGAATCTCGGTACTGGGATCTGTCTAATCTATGCAGTAGGCAATGTTTTCAGGATTCAGCTTACCGATAAGGACACAAAGGTTCAAATGGAGCTAGTTTGAAGGTTTCAAGATGGAAACTTAACGGCCCAATTCTGTCCTTCACTCATATGGGTGCAACTCTCACTGAGTTCAATCTCCAGAGAAAGCAATGAAAGCTGTGTCCATGTGTTTGAGGGACAAGTAGGGCATGAGCTGCTCTAATATTTGGCATTTTATAGTACTTTATGTTGAAGCATTCAGCAAAACTCTTACCTACACAACCCTACATCTCAACCAAAAGCCAACAGTCTTGGGTCTTCCAATGATACCTAAAGATGAAACAAACCTGGACTATGGAGAAGAAAGTTCCAGAATCCCAGTTGATCTACTGAGAATGCTCTATCCCAGCCATTTCAATCTAGGGACTAGCCAGGGCTGCCATTGCAACAGACATTTGTGCAGAAATCCTATCGTAGGCAGTTATGGAGAAACCTATTCCTATCCCAGTCACTTGCCTGTTGTTTTTTTCCTAGCTGCATTCTGCTTTCTATCCCATCTAATATAACTCTGGATGTTCTCAGAACTTACCTACCAAAGAAGGAAGTTAGTCACTCAAAGGGAGTGATTATCCACAAATTAAACACCTCTTCTCTTCTAAAGATCGGGAGCTTTCTATTCTGATTCCTTCTGTTCCCAATAATCAAGGTCCTGCTTACCACTTTCTGATTTTCTCATGACTGTAATTTGGGGTGTGAGTTTTCTGAGAATTTTTTGCAAGAAACAGTAATGAAACTTGTAAAGCACTTATTTCTATATCTTGAGGACTTCTCTAGGCAGGGGATCTGCTTTTATTTCTCCTTTTCTACTGATTACAGTTTCTTTAAGTTCCCCAAACCAAGTTGGAAGCATCTGTTTTCAATACAGTTTGAACTGGAGGACTAATAGTAGGATTGGATTCAGACTCTAATCAAGTCAAAACTGAGAAATGAATGTCATGTGCACATAGGCATTGTGATTCTGGGCAGTTTGTGGCCAATATCAGAGTTCCTCAGAGGAATACATCATGGAAGGGAATGTACAAATATGCAAGTAGTGTTCTGGCAATGTAATCAGCACTGAATTCTGATTTTCTTTTTTGTAAGTACAAGCCTAGAGAGTTCAAACCAGGGCAAAAAGCCATGAAATGTATAAAAGCTGCAGAGAGGTAGTTGCGTTAGACTGTAACTGAAAAAAATTAAAACAATGAATAGTTTAGACTGTAACTGAAAAAAATTAAAACAGTGAATAGTTTTGCAGCACCTTAGAGACTAACAAAAAATGGAGATTGTATCATAAGCTTTCATAGCACAATCCACTTCTTCAGATGAATGGGGCTAAGGGGACCAGGGAACAAATAAATAGCAGAGAAAGAGAGGGAAAGGGAAGGGGAAAAAATGGAGGAAAAAAATAGTCAATTATTGAGTGTCCCTGGTAAATGAGGCCAAAAGAGTGGGCTCTTAAGTATTCTAAGTACCTGATACTTAGCTTTTTATAAGTCTGCTCATGCTAGAGATACGTTATTAATAATAAAACTATATCTTTAATTTCAAAATTGGCATTTATCTTCAGTACTGTATTAACACTGTAGTGAACTTGAGCGTTCATGTAGTAAATGACCTTTTTTTGAATTTCATGTCTTCAGATACTATCCTAAGTGAAAGAATGAGTTAGTCAATCTGAAGTTTTAACAACTGAACTATTTATATGCTTTAAAACAGTTCTGGGACTTTTTTTCACTCTACCTCAACTTTACGCTTGAAGAGGGATACAATATTTGCTCTTGTTAGTTTTAACTACTGACTTGAAGTTCTCAAAGTGGACATGTCAGGAATATCTTCTCTTAATGCAAATGCTTAGTGGAATTGAAAGCTGGAAAATCCAGGCTCTGGGTTCCATATGATCAGATGGTTTGTAATTCTCTATTTGTTAACTCAGCTGTTCTGATCTCTGTAGTAGCCTATAATTCATAGACTCTTTCATCTAATATTAAACAGGGAAAGTCTCAGTGTATCCAAACTTATACTACAGTTCTATAGCTCCTTCTGCCAGTTACAGAATACATGCTCCTTCTGGCATACTAACCTATGCTGTAATATGTGCTGCTGTGTATAATCCTCAATCACTTAAATTCATAGATGCATATGTTTGTACCCATGGTGATGCACCGAGTTTTATGGGTAACTGCAGTGTATGTTCACTACATATGTTTTGAAAACATTTCTTAATATGCTTCATGTTTGTCCATGACCACTAGATAAGACTGGCAATAATGCAATTTAAGATATCTTTAAAAATGGGCCAGTTTCAGTTATAATCTACTATGTAAATTTGGAAATAATTTGAGAGAGCTTTTCCGGTATTAAACATGCATTAACCATGCATAAATGGGAGGAACACAGTACATACCTAAAAATGAAAATATGGTACATCTATGTACTGATTACAAATAATAAAGCCATCCAGTGCAGCTTTAATTTGGAAACCCTATTCAAATGTATTGGCCATTTTCTAAAACAGGGCATTTAAAAAAAACATTTCACAATCATTTACATACAGAATGCCAGCCATGCAAAATTTCAACTCAATCTCAAGTTACCGTCCAATATTAATAAATACACTGTTCAGAAACTCTTGCTCTAACTGGAAAAGGATACAAAAATATCTAGAAACAGAACTCCAAAGCTCCCAATGAGCCATGGAAGATGATGCATAAAGTAGAGGTTTCTGAGAGATTCAGCTGCAGGCATCTTTAAAACAAGGCTCAGTCCATAAGTACAGTTTCCCATCATGGCTAATGCAAACAGCAGATAAGATGTACCTTCTGTGGATCTTCTTTGGAACTACAAATAATTTAAAAAAAACATTGATAGGGGAGAAAAAAGATTTCACCTATGTTACAGTGACCATAGACTACTAGAACTGGACGGGACCTCAAGTGGTCATCAATTCCAGGCCCTGGGACTCATGGAAGAACCAAGCACCATTTAAATCAACCCTGACAGATGTTTATCTAACCTGCTCTTAAGTATCGCCAATGATGGAGATTCCACAACCTCCCTAAGCAATTTATTGCAGTGCTTAATCACTCTGACAGGACATTTTTCCTAATGTCCAACCTAAACCTCCCTTGCTTAAGCGCATTGCTTCCTGTCCTATTGTCATGGGTTAAGGCAGGGGTTCTCAAACTTGTGATACGACCTCCCTCTCCTTTGCTGCAACCACCCTGTCAGTTGCTCGCGACCCTTTCTAAGTTGTTTGCGACCCCCCTCTTAAGTTGCTCGTGACCCTCCGGGGGGACAAGACCCACAGTTTGAGAAACGCTGGGTTAAGGAGAATAATTTTTCTCCCTCCGCCTTGCAACACCCTTTTAGGTACTTGAAAGATGCTATCATGTCCCCTCTCAGCCTTCTCTTTTCCAGAGTAAAAAAACTTCAGTTCTTTCGACCTTTCCTCACAGGTCATGTTTTCTAGACCTTTAATCATTTGTGTTCCTCTTCTCTGGATCTTCTCCAAATCTTCCCTGAAATGTGGTGCCCAGAATTGAACACAATACTCTAATGGAGGCCTAATCAGTGCAGAATACAGTGTAAGAATTATTTCTTGAGTCTTGCTTACAACATGTTTGGTTTTTTTTGCAAGTGTCACATTGTTGACTCATATTTAGCTTGTGGTCCACTATGACCCGTAGATCCCTTTTTGCAATACTCCTTCCTAGACTATCACTTCCCAGTCTGTATGTGTGAAACAGATTGTTCTTTCCTAAATCGAGTATTTTGCATTTGTCCTTACTGCATTTCTTATTTACCATTGACCATTTCTCAAGTTTGTCTAGATTGTTTTGAATTATTATCCTATCCTCCAAAGCAGGGTTTCTTAATCAGTGGTACGAGTATCCTTAGGGGTATTCGAGAGAAGATTGGGGATACGTCAACACAACTAAAATTTGGAGAAAACTGAATTTGTGTTTTAAGTTTTACAGCGTTTTATTATTTTTGTACTTTATACACCCAAAAATTTCATCGCCGGCCTGGCTACGATTAAGATGTTTAAACAAATGTGTTGCAACAGTACGAAAATTTTGTGTGTGTCTGAAAACTGTAGGTGCTGGGGGTACTTATATATATATTTTTAAAAGGGGGTACTTTATATATAAAAAAAAAGGTTGAGAAACATTGCTCCAAAGCATCTGCAACCTCTTCCAGCTTGGTATCAGCAGCAAGCTGCATAAGAGTATTCTTTATGTCATTACCTCTATCGTTGAAGATACTGAACAGAACTGGTCCCAAAACTGATCCCTGCAGAGCCCCACTTGTTATGCCCTTCCAGCATGACTATGAACCACTGATAACTACAGGTTGGACCTTCTGGGTCTAGCAATCTTGGGAACTGACCAGTCCCGAACAAGGGATTTTGCCAGACCAGAAGAGGTCAATTCCGGCCTCTTTGCTGATGGGACTTCGGGTCTCTCCTGGGGTCCATCAGCAGATCTGGCCAGACTCTCCTCAGAGCTCCATGCCCCCTCCCAGCATGGTTGCCAGCCTGGTCCCTAGTCATGCCTCATGCTCCTCCTGGCCGCCGTGCTCCCTATCCCCAGGCTGCCAGCTCTGGTGGGTCTGCCTTGCAGGGTCTATTCCTGGCCCACACCCCTGGGTGGGCTGCAATGCTGTCCCTGGCTGCTGCTGCTGTGATGCTGGCCTTAGCTGCTGGGCTCCCTGCCCCTAATGGGGCTGCAATGTTGGGTCTGGCTTCCAGGCTTCCTGCCCCAACGGGGTTGTGAAACTGTGCTCCCTGCCCCTAAGGGGCTGCGATGCTGAGTCTGGCCCCAGCCACCAGGCTCCCTGCCCTGAGGCTGACTCCACTGCCAGCCCTGGCTCGAGGTTTTCAGCTCCCATCATGGCTGCCAGCTTCCCGTTCCACTCCTGGCCACCTACTGGACGGACCATGGATGTTCCAGGACCAGAGAGTCCCAGACGAGAGATGTTCAGCCTGCACTCTCCGAGAATGACTATTCAGTTATGGATATTTTCGAGTTATTTTACTTTTTAACATGACTTCAGAAATTCAAACACTTATTCGTTTCCAGCTTGAAAACACGTATGTTTCTAATGCTTCTGCCTCGTTTAGATCTATTTCTGCAGCAGAATAATCTACATCCATAGTAATGTGCATAATTCTGGGAAGTAATATATGTTAACTCCTGCAGCTGCAGAGCAGAAAGAGACTCTAGCCCATTACAAAATATTACTGTTTATTTCTTCAGAAATCTGTTACTCCTTTGCTGTTTCCAGTGGAGCCATTTTAAAATACTTTATCATCCTATTTCAGAGGCGCCTGGTGGATTGAAAATACACTGCAGTGCATTATGCCAACTTAAAGATCAAAGCTCATTCCAATGCCTGATGTTCTCTACATATTTAAAATCTTTCATTCGTGGACAGTAAGTATGTTATGAAATCACCAATGGCATCTTTGAAGTCATAGCAGATTAGGTTTTAAACTCACAGTTTTATAGAAAACTTTTTATGTTGTATATTTAAGAGAGAACACTGGCCAATCAAGAAAAATAAACTGCATGTTTGTTTTTCATGTGCAATACAGGGCTATGCCCCAACCTTACAAATCCTGATATACTTCTCTTGTCCTCTGTGAAAGCTGTTCATTTCCCTGGAATCTTCATCTTTCTCCTGATGGGAGGGAGGGAACAGTTTTCTTCCTTGCCTGTTCCCATTTCAGATGGTCCCAAATGCAAAGTACAGATTTCAAATAGAAGTTTGTGTTCAGTGAGAGGAAGATTCCAGTGTATAAAACAGGCAGCACAATGCAATTTAAGTGAACTCTCACAAAAATATACTTACGTTTTTATACAGCTGAGGTAACCTAGATCCCAAGTAAAACATGCAAGATATGTAGCCACAAATGAAGCCTGACATCTCAATCATACCAAGAGTGTTCTGAAAAGCCAACAAAAGCACAATAAGATTTTGATTTAAAATGCTTTCAAATGTTTCAAGGGTTTTTAACTGCATTTCTTGAAAGGGACTGAACCAGTACTTACTTCAAAGCAATTCAAGGTAGGGATGTTAATGGGCAACCAGTACCAGGGATTGGATGTGTGTGTGTGCGCGTGTGTGTTAAATGCTGTTGTAAATGGCCAAAGAGGTGAGTGCTAGAAAGCATAGCTTTACCTCAGTGTAGTTGTAGTGCACACTCAAATCAAATTAGTGGAATTTGATTGGGATTTAATGCTAAATCACAGTTGGGATTTAATGCTAAATATTAATGCAAAATGCATCTATTCTTAATAGTGAAAGAGCTGAACTTGGTGATTAAAGTCTATTAAGAACTACAGCAAAAGTCAGTGAAAAGGCATAGCATACTGTGGACACACAATGCATTTACATTATTTTCAACAGGAATTATGTTAGTTTCCCCACTCGAACTATATAATTATAATTTCAGAATTTCCACTCATGAATTGGAAAGCTGTGTCATGCTTAAGTAGCTGTATTTTAATAATGCCAGCTGGAAATATAGTCTGATGTCAATACCATGACAGGAAGACTGAACTGCCAGCCATCTCCATAGCTGTTTTTAGGCAACTTCCGTATTTCTAGGGTGGGGGTTTGGAATGCATTTTTCAAACAAATACTCATAATACCACACACACAAATTCTAAGGCATTTAGGATCATCATACAAATTCCTACAAAGCATATTTATAACGCTCACCAACGTTTTATCTATAGTCATTTTTTTGGGGGGAAGGAGATTAACCAAAAAACAAACCACCTTGTTAGCTTCAAGTACAGTACTCTGGTCTTGATTTCGTAGTAGTAGCTTACTGGGTAAAATTACACACAATGTTATACACATCAGGACCCAGACTACACAGAAATTCTTCAGGCTTATGCTGCCTACAATAAAACACAACGAGTTAGCTGATAAATTACTTGATGGCTAGTAACATTGGTATCTGTTCATAATTTAGTGTATAGAGTTATAAACAATAATACATGAAGTTTCACATTCAATCCACTTTTTAAACTAGCTCCCATTAACACACATTTCTTAAACTTTTTAAGACCGAGGAACACCAAACAATTTTTTTTTAAATGAGGAACAGCAAGGATTTTTTTGTTGAGGGGGGAAAAAATAGGTTGCCTGTGCCTTTAAGGGTGGCCATTTTGAATTATGTTGTTCTCCACGGCACATCTCTGACTGCCTTGCGGCACACCGGTCTGCCACGGAACACAGTTTAAAAAACACTGCATTAACACATTTAGGTGTAAGCTAGCATGGTAAGCAATATGCTGCTAAGTACAATAGAACAGAATACAACACTGTCTTTCCACAAATGTTGACTAAACGCCCCAAATACAAAGACATTTGGAATGGAAATGTCATAGGTGTCCTAAAGGCTCTGCTGTTAATGCAGGCCTACCAGCAATGCAATTTAAGTACATGATTAACTAAGCATGTGAGTGGTCCCACTCAGATCCACGGGACTACTCATGCTTAAAGTTAAGCATACACTTATGTAACTTGCTGGATTGGGGTTAAATAGTCACCTATAAAAGGATTTCAAAACAGAAAATAGTATAAATAATTCAGTAGATAAGGTAACTTCTATATTAGGATACAGGAGTGCCTACAGGCTCAAGATGAAATCAGCACTGCACTGTGCTAAAAGTTGTACTGATAAACAACAAGAGAAAGTCCCTGTCCTGTAAATTTGCTGTCTAAACAGTCAAGACAAAGGACATATTAATATCACCATTTAACAGATGGGGATCTGAAATGCAAAGACTTAGGCCCAGATTTTAAAAAATATTTAGCTGATGCTACGCTCCTACTGACTGCTAATGGGATTTAGGCTTCTATATCCTTTTTGAAAATGAAATAATCTCATAAATTAGTTAGAGATTGCAATATTGAATACATCACTACCGAAATACCTTTAAAAATCTGGGCATAAATGTCTTTTCCATGGTTACACAAGAGTCAGAAGTAGAACTGGGAAGTGACTCCTTAACCTCAGAACTACCCTTCAATTTCTAGTTAGGCATGAGTGTGACTGGAAAGAGGCACAGCAGCTGGGACTGTGGATATAAACAAGGAAACTCAGAGCTAAGAACACGCCATGTAATCTTAAACTTGATGTGGTTAGATATTGCATGGATTTAAGAGCAGATCTATGTCTGCAACTGATTCTTTATTCAGCTGGGTATGTCTAAGTTTTTAACTCTTGTTTTTTATTACCTTTGTTAGACCTTTAGTTTTAATATTTTGACTTTAAAATGATCCAACTGATATGGTCAGGTATGTTAGTCTTCTTCCTAAGCTTTTATCATTTGAACAGAACTTTGATTGCCACTGTCCAGCTTCACAGGTAATTAATCAGCCCCGCCTAGTCAGAGGCTCAAGGCTTCATGAATGGAGCTGACTGACTGGGTGGGACTGATTAATCACCTGTTAAACTGTGCTGCCCCACAGGTTAGAGAGAACACTGATTATAATATAAATGGCAGACTGAAAATTTTTCTAAGATTAAACACTATAATTCCTGGCAAGATTTTATGAAGCAATGCAAGTAATTTCATTCCTTTTGCATAGGGTCTTTTTGACAATGTATAGTTACAGAAAAGACATGAAAATGTCGAAATACTTTATGCAGTTAGCAAATATATAATAAAAAGTCCAAAATCAGGGAAAGTAATTAGACAGAACCTAAAAGAAAGAAATTTATGCTTTCAATCTTCTTCTACATGTGCTTAGATAGCTGAATGTAGGCAGTAAAACTAAGGAATAAACTAAAGTGTGCAACTATGTACTTCAAAATTATTGCATTTTTAAACACCTATGTAAAGTGACAATCTTACACAGAAAATACTCATAGCCATTAATCTTTTGCTAACTTAGAATGTGTAACAAATTTTGATTAGGACTAGTTGAATTTCCTGCAAATATAAATAACTCTGCAAAAAAAAAAAAAAAAAAAAAAAAAGCAAGACAGGCCCTAAGGAGAAAGAATGGGATTTTCATAGGACCCTAACAAAACTGTAACTGGGATTTGGGTGCTCACTAGGTTTGTTTAAATGGTTAAACAATAAGCCTGGGCTTAATGATTATTGTTAATGGTTATACCCTTCTGTATCAGAGGCAATAGTACAGGGTGGCAGCCAACTCCCCAGGAGTTGGGCTGGGAGCTGGTACACACCATAAGCCTGCTTAAAAGTCAGCTTCCCTTGTGCACTGGCTCCTGCGGAGTCTGCTGTTGCCCCATGCTGCAGGTGCGTGTAACTGCTGAGATTTTCATTGGTTACACAATTACCCACTTTTTAACATCCCTAGAGCTCACCTCCTTTCAGACCATTCTGAAAACTCATACCTAAAAGATGAAGAAAAGAATATCAGAGTACTCCACTTCATAATGAGGCAGTGAATTAATTGTTGAAAATCTTACATTTTGTCACCTTCTGATTTTTGAGCTTATAGTAGGCAAACTGTGAGATCACAATTATGTCCATGTTAACATAAAAGATGGCAGTGACAATCTGAAAGAAATCACAAGATGCAGCTGCTTATATATTAAACAAAAACAGGACTGTCTTTAAGGAAATGATTTACAGGATGTAGAGAACACAGAGATTATACATGCCAAACTTCCAAAAAAAGCTGGTTAGGATACAAACCAAGTTAAATTGCTGTAGTATAGTGTAATATGTATTTACAGTAAGGCAAATTCTTGGTCCTTAGATCTAAGGCACTATAGAGCTTGAGCTACACAGTCGAACTACTGCTGCAACTAGGGGATGTAAAATCCTGCTCAATTGGTTAACCGATTAGAAGGGGTGGGCAAGGGAGCCGCTCCTGCCCTGCCTGTGGCACGGGAGGAGGGGGCACTACAGCCTGGGGGAAGGGAAAGTGGATAGACTCTGCCAGCCACCAGCCCAGCATGGAGCTGTCCCCAGAAGCTGGCAGCCCTTTGCAGTGCCCAGAAGGATTGTCGCAGCCCTCCCCACATGGTGGGGGCTGCTCCTGGGTACTGGTTAACCTTTATCAGGTCAGCGTCGCCAGTTAAGGGTGATGCTTACCAAATAACCTGTTAACTGGTTACCCATTCACATCTCTAGCTACAACAGCAAAGATTAAATAGATTTTAAGGTATATGGCACAATCCCTGTCTGGGGTAGATGCTAAATCCCTTCACTTGCCCAGAGATGTGTGTCTTCTCTTCCTGAGCACCCAGCATTCAATTAAGAAGGCAGTGTGCATGATCACTGCCTCCCCCATACTAAAAAGGTATGGCTTTTTTCCTGCTATTTCACAGCTGGGGAGATAGAATGGATAATGCTGCCTTAAAGCTGCAGAACTGTGTTATGTACTGAAATTAGTCTCTACCCAATCCTGGTCTCCCGTATGGCTTGTGACAGTCTTCCAGGTTATGAAGTATGCCTTTTTTAAACCAAGAAGGGAAAGGTAAATCAATAAAGGCAGAAATTAAGTCTGACCTATAAGGAAAGGTTAAAAAAGCTGGATATGTTTAATCTTAAAAAAAGAAGTCTGTGGGGGACCAGGCAAGTCTTCAAATATGTTAAGAGTTGTTAGAGGATTGTGATAAATTATTCTCCATGTCCTCTGAAGGAAGGACTAGAAATAATTGGCTTAATCTGCAGCAAAGGTGATATAGGTTAGATGTTAGGAAATTATTTCTAACTGTAAGGATTGGAATAGGTAACCCAGGGAGGTTGTTGAATCCTCATCAAGGTTTTCAAGAACCAGTTAGACAAACACATGTCAGGGAACATCAAGATATAGTTGGTGCTGGTTGGGGAATGGACTAGATAATCTCTCAAGGTCCTTTCTAGTCCCACATTTGTATTATTCTAAAACAATCTAATTTTGTTGCTATGCTGCAAAAAGTTAATTGACTTCACTCACTCCCAACCTGACTTATTAGGGAAATGTATGTTGTCTGAAAGTAAACTGGAAAATTCCCACTTAAAGCCCATTTAGTCTACTTAAATGCTTAACCCATGTGAAATGGTAAGAAGTAAGGGTATAAAAGGAACTAGTGGTGACACAGAATCACTCGCATGGTATACAAAGCCACACAATACAAATTTATAAAAGGGCAATGAGGAGGTGAAGAGATCACATTTAGTGACAGTTTCCTTTTCTAGTATTTGTCTCTCTCTGCAACAGTTAAAAAGACATTTTCAAAATAATAAATCATATATAGAAAAACTGATTACCTGAACTGGCAGTTGATTTGTTAAATAACAGCCTATCAAATTTGTAAGGTCCCCTCCAAGCCAACAGAGCAAAAAACCCAGAGACAGCGCTTGGTCCACTTTTCCATTCTGATAAGCAACATAAATTTGACTAGAAAAAAAAAAATCACAAATGTTTAACTTCTTCAAATACATTTTACTTAAAAAACAAATAAAGGTCCCCAACCATGAAGAATTTTCTGTAGCAGTATTAACTGATTAAACTAGTATTTTTAAAAAGTAAATCCAAATTACTATTTCTGGTTCTCTTAAGCCTAGAAACAAATGGTGCAACCCAGTCCCCAATACTGTTTGTTTTTTTCCATGGCATCAAGTAAAGTGCAACAGCTGTTGGACAGCAGAACCAAACTATTAATGCTGTAATTTTTAATAATGTTGAAACTGGAAATATATTCACATTTAGCAATAGAATGGCTAGGGACAGACAAAGGTTCTATGATGGAGGATACAAGAGTTTACTAGACAGATTAATGGAATGCTCACTAATGTCACGGTTTTACTGTGACAATGTCTTTCAAATGATATTTCAGAGACCCAAGGTGGTTTTATTCTGCAGAATTTTCAGGCACCCTTTTCATAGAATCATAAAGCTGGAAGAGACCTCAGGAGGTCATCATGTCCAGACCTCTGCTCAAGGCAGGACCAATCCCAACTAAATCAACCCAGCCAGGGCTTTGTCAAGCCAAGACTTAAAAACCTGTAGGGATGGAGATTCCACCACCTCCCTAGACAACCCATTCTAGTGCTTCACCACCCTCCTAGTGAAATAGATTTTTTCTAATATCTAACCTATTATCCCCCTTTTCTAGTTCAGTAAATCTCCCTATGTGGAGAGAAGGGGTTTTTTTTTTTTGCCTTGATTCCATTTAGTTGAGACATTTTCACCTACTCAGCTTCTGCCATCCTCTATCTGCACATCTGAATTATGAACCCAGCATAAGTACATCACATAAACTGGTCTGCCACTGCAGAAACACTGACTGACTCATTCTCTGACCTTTTGTTGGTCCCAGTGTCCACTGACGGGAGCAGCAGGATAGTTTGTGTGACATAGCATGTGTTTTAAATAAATATTTGCACACTCTCCACTAGAGACTGCAGGAGTGTGCACACATTTTAGTGCAGAGGAGATGTGGTGGGATTGACATAGGCCATGTCAATACTACCACTTATGTCCACCAACCTTGTGTGTAAACCCCGAGCAACATAAGTTTGGCTGGCATAAATGGCATAGGCATAGCACTGTGTTGATAGGAGAGTGTCCCTTGCCTACCTAAGAGCACCTCAATGATCAGTAGTAACTATTATGTTTGTGGGAGAGCTCTTTCCCACAGGCATAAAGTGGCTATGTTACACAAGTGATCTTATGGGCAGTGCAACTGCATCAGTGCTCTGTAAGCTTGCTAATGTAGACATTGCCTTACTCTCACTTGCTCTCAGTGGCACAGATTTGTGTCAGACTGGCACAACAGAATAAGTACATCAGGCTCTTTTGCCAACCACCAAATACTGCTCTTCACAAAAATGTCATACTTCTTTGGCATATGCCATTATATAGCTGGAAACAGAAATTTATCCAAGATAAACTTAAAAACATGCAGCTTCTGAAAAGGGCTTCAGGCAAGATTACATGTGTGAATCTGAAGACTTAAGATTTTAAACTTACGGTAATGCAGCAAACAGAAAACAGACAATGGAAATCAGTCCTAAGACAACACTCCAGTACTCCCACACATTTTCTGCACATTCTTCCAAGAGATGCCAAATCCATGGTGTTCCATTCATACACAATCTCCTGTTTTCTACTGGAGAGATATTGAAAGCATGTGTATACAGCTGAGGAGCCATCACTGAAGTGCTGAGATTCAATTTCAGAAGTTTATTTTTAGTCTGCTTTACCCCACTCAAATCCACAAATCCATTTATCAACGCTGAATATCCTCGCTCTCAAAAGACCTGTGCATCCAGATGGATGACTTGATATAGCAGATATTTCCAATTTTATAAATGGACCTGCCAAATTCAACAACAAAAAATACAGTCAGTGTGACAATATCAATTTAGAAGACCAAATCAAAGTTTTCAGTAATTTGGCCCCAGGAAACTATGTTTGGGAACATGAAGTCAAAACAGAATAAAACTGCAAATACAGACTCTAATCCATAATGCCCTTGCTTATATTTAGTGCTTATTAAAAAGGACAAACTGTGTTTTTCAGAACCAGTTATTACACAGGCAGCTATTGTAATGATCACTACAAAAAATTTACAAATGCATGAAGAACCAGATAGCCATTGATGGACCTACCCTCCATGAATTTATCAGCCAGGATAGACAAGAATGGTGTCCCTAGCCTTGTTCGTCAGAGCTGGAAATGGGCAACAAAGGATGGATCACTTGATGATTACCAGTTCTGTTCATTCCCTCTGGGTTGCCTGGCATTGGTTATAGTCAGAAGACAGGATACTGAGCTAGATGGACCTTTGGTCTGACCCTGTAGGCTCGTTCTAAGGTCCTTATCCTAATTTACATCACCTGAGGCATTTTAGTCCCTGAGTCTGGCCTTGGTAGAGACTGACAGTTGTGCCAAATTTAAATATATTTGTAATGTGAAAGAACTTTACACTACAGGGTAAAGTCGAACAAGCAACTCACTTCCCCTTAAGACCAATGCCAGGGTTTAAATCCAGACCTCCTACGTTAAGATTAACTCATTGAAATAACGAGCTACTGAATACTCTTTTTAATGATAATGGGTCAGATTGTAAATCCCTCTTTCACATTTGTGAATACCCACTCAGATGAATACCCTGATTTCAACCTAACTGCTTATGTAAGTACTGCTTACAAGTGCAAATAAGGGCTTCATATTCTGACTCTGATATGTATAAGCATAAAAAACAAAAGGAAAAAAATGTTCGAACAGAATTTCCTCATGGCGTCAGATAGTTAAGAATGGGCTTCTGTTTAAAAAGCATGTGGTCTGGAATCTAAATAACAAAATATTCATTTCTTGCAATTTTACAAATAACTTCTTCAGAATATATTTCTTTGAATCGGGCCACCAAACATTATACTTATCGTAGATTTCTAAAATTTGTTTTCCCTTTTTTATAAGTATGGCAAGTTTTACGTTTTTGTATTTCAAATAAACATCCAATATTTCAACCCTTTTTGTAGTTTGCTTCAGCAGTTAAGTTACCTTTATTACTTGAAATGCTCAAGAAACATTCGTTTTTCTAAATACAAATAAGACGTACCTCAGCTCTGAGTAATATTAAAACAAATAGCTTTCAGGGAGTACAAGTTTATCTTCGATGTGCCACTGACCAAGTATCACAGAATGAACTAGAAAACAAGCTTTTCAAGAGTGTGGTGGAGGTGTCAGTAGCAGCTCCAGAGTGAAGCCTGCAAGAAGATTCCATAGATGCAGGGTATGCAATCCACATATTGCATATGTGGAGTGGAGGATGGGGAATGGCATGCATCAGCATCACACTGATAAATCTTACTCATTGGTTAATGATATAATTTAATGATTTTTCAGGTTTCTAAAGATCTTACACACTCATTTCCAAGTGCACAACTGGAACGAGCAAGATCTATGCAAGAGCACATTATTCTACTATACGTAACACAGAACCATGTTAGATAATGAAGTGAGTCTGTAAGGGATTGGGTTGAAGCTGTTTTTATAATACAATCATCTATTTTCAATGTCTTTTTAAATCTCACGGGTAGCTGGCATAAAATAAAAGCAGTACATTATAAAATTGGGATTACGTTTTCCCTCCCAGGGCCTGTCCATACTTCCATGAGACCTCTGCTAGCTGTGGCATCATAATGTGGTGCAGACTGTGGCATCACATTGAAGATGGAGCAGCTTTGCCTTGCAGGGGGAACTGATATCACAAGACCTAAAATAAATAAACAAAAAAATGTTGACGCCGTACTGAATCTCTCACTTAGGCAGAATGGTTCAGTACATATTGCTAAGGTTACTGATCTCCGTAGCCATTTCTGCAAGTCACTTTTAAACTACTATGTGTGAATGGGTACAGGAGAGACAGGTATATTTCAGATACACTTGTCTGATTTTTGCATCACTGAAATCATGGAGCATATCACATGTTAGTCATGATGCCAAAGGGCAAGTATCTTTAATCATCCAAAAAGTATTACTGTTGTGATAGAGATTCATAGCTTTTGTAAGGGTTGGCAAACAAGTAATGATCTGTGCACGTACAGCACACATACAATTTGAACATTTAGCTATTCCATTTCTCAGATTCCATGTCTCTCAGTGCCTATTTCACAGATCTGTAGAATAAGCCAGATAAATTAACAATTTGATTAAACAGTTCAAAACTGTGGTTCCATTTCTGTACATCGGGGTGGGCAAAATTTGGCGCCAAGCTGCCAGATCCAGCCTGAAGACAAAGTGTGGAGTGTCAGGCAGCTCCCTGCCTGCCTGCCCGCCCTCCCACCCATTGCTCAGAAAAGGGGCTGCTGGGTGTTGTTTCTTTCAACAGTTGAGAGGGTGGAGGGAGGGGGGGGAAGAAGGGAGAGGCTTCACATCCTGTCCCCGCCCCCAGCACAGAACAGGCAGCATGTGAAGTACCCCTCTGACCCTCAGGCTTGTAGCTATTCAAAGGTGCACATGGCCCCTGCAGCCTATGCAAGGGCATGGCAGGCAGGTAGCCTGTCTGGTAAACCTGCTGGGCTGCTGGCTGGGAATCACCCAGGTAAATCTCCCAGCCAGAGCCTGTCTCTGGCACCCCAGCTCCTCCTTCCCTCCAATCCTCTGTCCCTCATACACAACCCAAACACTCTCCTCCCCCTCCTGCACCCATACTCCCTTCCAGATCCTATACTCCAATCCTCTGTCCCAGGTCACAACACCTTCCTGCCTAAGATCCAAAACCAAATACCTGCACCTCCTCCTGCACCCAGTCTTCTGAGCCAGGTCATGATAGCTTCCTTCACCCAAACTCCTTTCCAGATCCCACATCCTCTCCTACATCCCAATCCCTTACCCCTTTCTTCAACATCCAACCTCCATCCCAAACCTTGCACCTCCTCTATTAATATTATGGAAAAGTATGGCCCTTGACCACTTTCCAAAATCTTGGGAGTGGTCCCCCATCAAAAATTATTGCCCACCACTGCTGTACATCTATATGGGTATTCAGTAAAAGCAAGCTAATTAGGACTCAGCCACCTGACTTCATTGTCCGTTAACCTGCCCTCTTTCAGCATGGTGCAAACTAACAAACCTACACCCATTAGAGAAAACCATATACTTTAAAGGATGGTAGAGATTACATGGGCCACAAACTCTTCCCAAGTGAATGAAATCTTTGTCTTTGGCTTCTTGCCACATGACATGTTTAAAGGTGGTTATTCTGGGGTTATTTTTATTTAACATTTATGTGGTATTTTCACTTCAGTGTTGGGAACTCCTGTAAATCTGTTGTAAGTCTTGTAATTGCTTTTTTCTCTTAAACCTCCAGCTGTTAGTAATTTTGCATAGTGCTTTGCAGCTGTAAAAATCACAATGACAAAATCATCAGCTCTGTTGGATGCTGAGACCTCTGTATGCTATCCACCCAACCCTACTCAGTATGACAAAGATCTGGAGGAAGCTAAAACCCCACATTCTTCTGTTGCTGCTAGGATCTCTATTCCTAGGATCATGCTATTCCTCTGCCAAGGTCAGTTTCCTTTTGTTCCTTTCTGGGATTCTTTTAACTCAGTTCAGGTTGCATTGGGAAATGCACTGAAACGAACAAACTCTCAAATCTATTTTGATAATGGACTACTGCAGGACTTTCTGGGCTCAAACCAATTTAGTCCACTGAGATCGCTAATACATGTTTTCTTCTCTTCTGCACAGAAATGCTTATTTTTTTCCAACAACTTCTTAAGCTCATATCGTTATTTTTTTTCATTAACTTCTTCACAACTGACCCTATTCCCTGAGGACAGATAAGAGAAGGAGGAGATAGGTACAACAGAAAGAGAAAAATGTGTGGTCTGAGTCACCAGCAATAAAAAAAGGAAAAGAGAATGTAAAGAGGCATCATTCTTTTACTTTAATCACAACTTTTTATGTGCACAACCTTGTATTTCTGTAAGAGGGTATTTTACTGGCTTTTAAAAATATTACTGTACATATTGTAGTTACTGCCACTCAGTCCTTGGAAAAATTATTCTAAATTACAAGTAGGGATGTGAACGGCTAGTCGACTATCCAATAAGCAAATGCTTATCAGATAGTTGACAGGCTAGTCAGCTAGTCGCTTCCCCCCCACTTGATGTCTCTATGAGAAAGAGGCAGCAGGGAGAGGAGGGAGTACTTCCAAGTGGCAGTGCCACGTGGAGCCAGACCCCGGGCTCCACATGGCACTGCCACTTTGAAACGTTGCGTGCAGCCCGGGGGCAGCTGGGATGTCCCCAGGCTGCATATAGCATTTCAAAGCGGCAGTGCTGCATGGAGCCCAGGGTCAGCTGGGGACTACCCAGCTGATCCTGAGCTCCCCATGGCATTTCCCCAGAACCTGGGATCAGCTGAGCAGTCTCCAGCTGACCCCGGGTTCTGCTGGGTCAGCTGGGGACTACCCAGCTGACCCTGGGCTCCATGCAGCACTGCCGCTTTGAAATGCTGGGTGGAGTAAGGCGTCAGGCTCCCTGCCGCATTTCAAAGCGGCAGCGCTGTGTGTAGCCTGGGATCAGCTGGGGACTGCTGACCCCGGGCTCCAAGAGGTACTTTCACCTTTGAAGTGCAGCAACAGCCCTAGGGCTATTGCTTACACTTCAAAGGCGGAGGTGCCCTAATGACTAATTGAATAGTCAACACAAAATGTATCAACTATTCAAATAGTCAATTACTCAATATTTAACATCACTAAGTACAAGCTGTTTCCTCCATAAGGAATAACTTAGAATACAGTACTCAGATTTCAGAAAGACTTGTAAAAGAGGCTTGCCTACATGAGGAAAGTGTTCAGAAGAGCTACTGTGCTTTAAATTGCCACTTTACCTTATACCAGAAACTTCCCCAGGTAGACAAGCACTAAGATCATACTGAAAAGAGGAAGGCTGGGTGACCAAGTATCTGCACTAGGACTCCAGAGATCTGCCATAGACCTTCCGTGCCTCCTTGGAAAAGTTGCAAGCAGTCAAACTTTCACAAGCGGCCACTAAGTGCCTCTCTTCTTGGATGCTCAGCCATGAGACTCTTTTCTAGGTGTCTGACTATAAATGTATGGGTTTGAAAGTGATCTCTACCCCCTCCCCCACTTTCAAATAATAATACTGACTAAAGCCAGTTTAACAATTTGAAAGGGAAAAACGAGTTGTGCAATATTTGTGTTTATGTATTCCTGACAAAATTAGTGATCTAGTCTACATTATAAGACTAATTTCACTCACTTGATCCTACTTTATTCCTACAACTCCTCCATGTTCCTATTAATTTTCTTTCAATAGTCCTTTTACTGGTTTTATCCACTCAACATGGATGATCATCTCTTTAAGAATAACAATCAAATGTGTATGTAACTAAATTTGACTTCAATAGAGAGCTCCCAGTTTAGCCTGGTAAAATTGAGCTGGAAAAACAAAGTCAATTTTTGAAAAGGAAAAAGCCATCAGGGGGCAGGTGAGCTGTAGGAGCATGTGGGCTGAATAACTACCTCACAGGCAGGGGCGGCCCGTGCCTATAGGCAAACTAGGCAGCCGCCTAGGGCGCCAAGTTGCATGGGACGCCAAGTTCCAAACTCTGCCCCTTCCATTTCCCATGGCCCTTCAATTTCCTTACCTGGAGCACGGCTTCTCTGCGGCCAGGAGGGGGGTAAGTCCTGGGAGAGGCAGAGCGCGGGGGGGGGT